TTCATGATATTTCGTCTCACGCGAAAGTTTACCTTTGTAATTTGTTAGCTCGAATTTCCCCAAAATTCGGCCGCTCTCATTACTCTCATGGGTCCAGAAGAGTTTTGTTTTTTAACGTATTATATGAACTGCTCTTTTAGCGTCGTACCTTGTAAAATATACATCCCCGTCGATAAAAGTATGAAAAACAAAATAAGTAAGCCTGGTGGGATCTTTATGGGTCCATTTGGAATTAATTTCCGGAACGATATCTCATGATCGACGCCGAATTAAATCGCCATTTTGAAAAATAGTCAACCGCTAGCCATTTGATCGTGGGCGCAAACCCCTTGCCCGAAAGGCAACGACGAAACGCGAAGTGCCAAGCTGAACCATTAAAGGGCAAGGCAATTCCGTATTATTTACTGTTAGCCAATATTAGCATATTGCGAACCCTCGGGCCCAGTTTTGTGGTATATAGGTTGCTTTTCTGTGCATCAATGCAGCATGCACTTACAACTGATTTTGCCATTTTTATTTTTAGGCGTTGTGTCCAATAATAACATGAAACTGATCCAATTTGTTACGATCGTTTTTTGCTTCTGTCATCAATCTCCAAATGCCTCTACGTGTACCCAAAATGACGATCCCTGCGGTTACTTCCAGCCGTTTTATGAAATGGCGCTAAAAGGACATGTCTTCCAGACGCTAAAAGTTCCAAGTTCACTTTATTGTTTAGAAGCTTGCAAGCACGAGGCAAGATGCCAGAGTTTCAACCACGTCATGGGAAAGGACATCTGTGAGCTCAACAATCGCACAAAAGAAGCAAGACCGGAGGACTTCATCTCAGACGTTACCAAGTTGTACTTGAAAAAGCCCAAGAATAGAGGTAGATCGTAGAAGAATCAATTTACTGAATGACACATATAAAGATCCCGGGCGATTCTCCACCCATCCCTCCCTTTACTCAATATTTTTCCTTGAGTGTTAAGCGAGGATGTTAAAGTTGGGTACTGTTATGGGAGGAATACTGAGGTGGCAGTTTCTAGAGTCTCTAAAAGACGCGACTATGAGACGGACACCTCCCCCAAACGTACACCTGGAGTTGGTCCTCACCTTCGTACCTCACTCATCTTCTTTGCCGCGGCTCTATAACACGGACAGAGTACAACTAACTAGCTGAGATGGACACTAAATGGCATTGAGTCCCTCTCTCCGCCGCAGAGATGAGGCTCGCGATGTGTAGCAACAATTGAAGATTTGTCTTTTTTACCTTTGACGTTATTTACAAATATTTTTTATTTTATTTTCTCATTGCTTTTTACTTGTTATCAGGTGATATCTGGTTGTAATAAAGTTAATTTAAGACTTGTCTTGTCTAAAATATTAAGTGCACAGTGGACGATGAAAGGATAAAAAAAGCGGCAGCCCGGCCTGTTGTTCTGTCTTTCCCATTCTTATCGTCCACTGCGCGCTTTCTTATTTTCCTCTCCCCAGCCTCCTCTCGACGCTAGGAGGCTTCTGCAGATGAAAGAGCGGCAGTAGGGACATGAAGCAGCGACATTTTTGAGCGATGAACGTCAACCGGAAGTTAACCTTTTTCTCTTTTTATATGCCTTGACGCTACCACATTTTATTGCTAGGTGTCTTTACTCTTATAGAGACGTTTTGCCCAAACGTTTGTTCAAAATCACGGCCCAACCGTGCAAAAAGTTCACTTCCGATTGACGTGCATCGCTCAAAAACGTTGCTGCTTTTAAAAACTATCTAGTCACAATGGTGGCTTACTTCGTATGAGTTGACTAAAACGGTACGGAAAAACGGGCAACAAAAAACGTGCAACTTGTTTTGCAACATTGCTGCAAAACGAGTTAGATAGCGATGTTGCGCGTTTTACCACCCTTGCGCAAGCCAGTTAACAACCTGATTAGTTGCAAGACAGGTTTCATGTGGGTGGTGAAACGCACGACATCGCTATTCAACTCGTCTCGCAGCAGTGTTGCCAAACATGTTGCCCGTTTTTCCGTTTCTTAAAGCTAAAGTGTAAGGTTACGTTATGTCGTGTTCTCTTGTGGTTTACCATTTTTCGCCACTAAGGTAATAAATGAAACTAGGCACCTTAATTTTCTTCCTTGAATGCTGAGAAAATTCTATGTACTCGGTTTTCCTTCACAGAATAACACACAACGCAAAATCAAAGGGAAGGGAATAATCATTTTAAATATGTGGAATAAGCCTCCACACTCTTTTAAAAACTTGCACTTCATTCTCGGTTCGTTTCCAGCTGATACCCACTCGGATTAAATGGGAAGAGTTTTTTTCCACCTAGATTTGACGCGTAAATTGTAAGCTAATTAAGATGTGCTAAACGTTACTTCTTTTGACAGTGGCCATTGGATCCATTCCTGAACTTCCAGCTGCAGGCTGCGAGGAAATAAAGATGAGTGAGGGACAGGTTGTGGCCAGTAAAAAATATTGGATGATCTGTATAAACCAGGGTATGGCTGTACTTGCTTACTGCAATATGACGACGGAAGGTGAGCTTAATTACCTGCGAGCCTTTCCGAGCCAGCACACCATTCTCTACAATAGCGGGAAAATGCCAAAATTTGTCGGACGTAAGATTAGAAGCATGCACAATCGATTGTTTTTTTATTATTATTATCCGGGATATTCACTTCTGTGTGATGACGTCAGGTAAAACGTGCTCGTGGACGAGATCGAGAGATTTCTAGTAAATGTCCAGGGTGCAAGCAGATTATAAACGAGGAGAGTTTTTTTGTAATTGCTTATTATAACGTTATTTTATTTTAAAACAGGCTTGCCAATCCTAATTACCAGAGGTCACTTTCATCTACTTCCCTTTATTTATTTTCAAACTGTATTCCTCGTATTTTCTTCCATCTCTGACGCCAGCGCTAACTTTCAAATTGAAACTCCTAGTTGTGTACTCGTTTTTCTTATCGGAGATGTTTGATCACAAATTGCTTAAAATGATTAATGATTAATTCTGGAATTAGTGCCCCTTTAATTAAGTGTACCCGCATTCGAATAAGTGCGCTTACCTTTCACACCCCGTCTTATCCTCCCTCCTGATTTAACGGTTTCACGACAAAGTTGACTGACGAAAACAAAGATTATTAGTAGGAAAAAACGCCATATATTACAGATTTGTTTTTCACTGATGAAGTGCTGGCACCCTAGTGTTAAATTGACTTTGAGGAAAGAGGGAACGTTTGCAATGTACAATAGGAACTTTGTTACCAACAATACTATTTAGTCATATTACCGATAACGTGAAATCAGTGGGATCTGAATGTTCGTTGTCTTCCTGATATACCCTGAAGTGTTCATTCAACAGTTTAAGGTCCCCTTTCCCTGATAAATTAACTTAATTGAAAACCTTAAATGTAGTTAACATCTTTTGGTGGCTTTGCTGCTAACGAGGAGGTCTTATATAAAGTGGAACTTGGATTTAGGGGGGAGCGTATTTTTTCTGAGACGCGAAACTTGCACGAGTTCTTGTTGTAAGGCGTTTACCAAACCGGCTTTTTCAGTATGTATTGGTTTGTTTTAATTTTCAGTGCCTCTTATCAATTTTACAACAAAAGGGTACACGGGACGATATGGTATTATTCAAAGATTCATAGTTCCGAAGACCGGTGTTTATCTGATAAAAGCCTGGGGTGCTCGAGGAGGAACACACTCGACTAACTATGGAGATTATCCCGGAACTTACTATGGTGGAAGAGGAGCGATGAAGCAAGGAAC